CAACGTAAAGCAATTTTTAATTGAGTGTGGAAAGTAGCCCGAGATGATTTTGTTTCTTCTTTTTCTTTACTTCGCTCTGTGATTGGTCCAGAAATCTCGCGCCACTCTCTAAATCAGATACAAAACTAAAACAAATCACCACTTGGTCGTCTGCGCTTTCCCGCGCCTTAGGCAGTTTGTTGTTTTTATGTTGAGTTCTCATTGGCTCTTTAAGGTATTTTTCTTCTTCTGATTGGCTATTGTGACTACTTCGGTTTTGGTTATAATTTGACTCCATCAAAAAGCACTCTAACGGGAAGATACCTTTTGCTTCAAGGAAGGTTTACACTAACCTTCTCAATGGACTTAGGTTTGCTATTTTCTGCATTAATGATGATGACCTTCATCAAAAGGCAAACGATGTTACATACATTTCTAGTGATAGAATAATCACCAAAGCTCGATGAGCCTCGATCATTTAGCAAAGAAACTCTAACTTGCAAATCTAGCTCCAGATATGTCTGACTCATCTGCATGTCTCATGTTTGATTTTCACGAAGCAAAATTGACTTATCAAGTGCTTGTCTCTGTATAATTCTCCTCTGCATCTTCATTTGTTTCTGTATAACGTCCGTTTACGATGCAATTCAAAAGTGGACCAATCTGCAAAGACATACAATTCAAACAGAGAAGTTTTAAAATTTATGATGACTTCTGCCCCCCCACCCCACCCCCCCAAAAAAATTGACATGCTGAAAGTTATGCAGCAAAAAATGTGTTAGCCATTACCCAGACTGTAATCCCTTCACAGAACTTGCTGAGTTACTAATTTTTTCAAAAACATTTATGAGCACTTTGGAAGTTTGATTTACATTTGTATTAATTAACTTTGTTCAGAGCGTTTGGCTGGTTACAGATTGTAACTTCTAACATGCAATCTCATTGTTTCAAGTCAGCTTTGGTGAGAGGTTTATGTAAATGTAATTGTTGAGGCCTACAATTGAGCAGCACGTATACAGTACATGCTGTAAAATCAAGCCTTACAAGTCTGCCTTAATATCTTATGCACATGTCATTACAACAATGAAACTAGCTGTAATTCAAATGGCCCAGCGAAAAAAAAAGTACATCACACTAAGTACCAAACACAGTTTATAGAAAGAAAGTATACAACTTACTCCTCCGTGCAACAAAATAACCATCAAAGAAAACTTTTGAGAGCAAATTCAGTTTAGGTTGAGCCATTATTATTATTCTAGGTGTCCTGAAGAAATTCAGAAAGTCACTTCCTAGTTTAAAGCTTTTGTGAAAACGTCAAGCAGTTGTGCAATAGTTAAATTCAATTTCATTCTTTCCTTCTCCTCATAGGTCTTCATAATAAGGAACACCAGAGCTGCCCCAAATCTAAAATTCCTTGTTGCTGGACATTTTGTGAAATAATTATGGTTGCCAGTAGGCAAAAGATGGTCACAATATGTACTTATTGACTGAGTGGGAGGGCTGGACAGGAAAATATTTGGCTTGAAGTCATGATGTATGGACCGAATACAGCAAGGTATGTACCTCGCGACTGAGAGCCAAAAGTTTTCCTGTCTGACCCAGTCAAAATCAGTCAATAAGCATTTCTATCATATGACCCCTGAGTGTTGAAAATTTAAACCTTAATAGGATGTGAAAGACAAGCAATGCCATCACACGAGCACATAAAAAAATTTGCCATTAAAAAATTTTTCTTTACTCTTTTTCAAGTCAGCACAAGAAACTCCCAATTCCTTGAAAAATGCAACTTTTTTTCTCATCTCTGTTTTTCTTTAAGTGTTTGCAACAAAGCGACACAAAGGCAGTAGGGCCAGACAGCTTTTTATTACAAAACTCGGGCAGTCAGAGGGCCAATAACTAAAATCAACCAATCAAAATGCTCTATTACTGGTCAATATTCTCTTAGTATTGGACCGGGAACTGTCCCAAATGGTCCCGAATGATACTGCACTTGTGTCCCTTTGAACTTCAGTCGTATAATAAATCTCTCATTAACCAAGCTTGCTCGGGACCATACTGGAAGAATTTTGGCCCTGGGTCTTTTTTGTGTGGACCTCGCTGCGCTCAGTCCATACTGTCAAGACCTCAGGCCGATATTCTCCCAGTATGGCCCTCGTGCTTGGTTAATAAGATATATTCCTGACCAGCTCATGTCAACCCATCCAACCCTGCACATCCACGTCAGCTTTTACCATGGTTTTGTATGGGATTGTGCGAGCAGGGCCTGACAGGTCATTTGATAATAGCTTGTACATGTAATCATCATGACTCCATTTGGAACCTAGATTGAAATACTGTAATAATTATTTTGTTTGATACAGATCCAGTCATACCTGGTTTTGATCTCCTAAAGCTTCTCCCAGCATTCTTTCAATATTTCTCATAACAGCCACTTTCTGTTGTGAAGTTAGTGGATAACTTATCTGGCTTGGAGTTGGGCCGGCCTGCAAAAATAAAAAAAAAGTTAATTGCATTGAGGAGTAACACACAACCATGTAAAACAATCACAAGTTGCAAAGTTAACTAAATTGAAAACTACCATATAAAGTTCATATGAAATGCAGTAGCACTAATCTTTCTTGATCTAACACCAAATTCTGATGACTAATTAACATGGAATTGTGTAGAAGCTACAGTAGAGAATTAAAAATCAGACCTTGGGATTTAAAGTGCTACCATTGATTAACAGAAGCAGTGGAACAATAAAGAAAAAAACTACCTTGATCCATTAGACTCCCTTTGCATTAAAATTTCAATTAAAATTATTTTCAAACTTACAGGTTTAGATTTCCACTGGTTAACCATGTTCCTTATATATTATATTTACTTCCAATTACGATTCCACTTACAACCCTCATAGTAAGAAATTGGGGGTGAAAAAAAATACCACTGCATCAATTTTATTTCACAAACACATACTTTAGATATGTGCACAATGGATATGTAACAGGTATGCATATTGTATATTTTCTTGCAGATTTTTCCCTAAGTGCACAGTACATCATGTATATTGTTATTATTTTTTTGTCTGATCCTGGATCGTGAAACTTCTCAGAATACAGTCTAATGAAACACAGGGCTTGACACTAACTTTTCAACTTACTAGCCAAGCGGCTAGTGATATCTTAGATGTTACAACAAATTCAGTTTGTATACTAGCCAAACTGGCCAATGGAAATCGAAAACCATTTGCCAAAACTGAATTTCTACAGTCTGTGGCTAGTTGGCTACCATTAGTGTCAAGCCCTGAAAACATTAAAAATGTTAGCTTAAATGTACTTGAATCGTAAGTAAGTGAGTAAGTGAGTGAGTGAGTGAGTAAGTAAAGTCTTTATTTAGAGAGGGTAGCATGAAATAGCATCAAAATGCTAAAAAAAGCTAGTGGCCCTCAGACCTTGTACCAAAAATTGACAGATGTGGTGATCCCTCCATTCACTGTTGATTCCACATGGTGCCACCTATTCAATGATGCAAAATATAAAACATTTTGAATACTTAACTAACCTGGCAGGGGCAGGAAAACCAACATGCATCATTTCATTTAATTATTAAGGGACTCAATGATCATCCAAAAGCCAAAATCTTCAGTATTAAATCTTACCAATACATTGGTATGTATAGTACATCTCCAGGACCAACTATGACTTCAAAACCTTTTGCATATCTGAACTTTGGAAATCTCTTATGATCTGGATTGTCAAAATCAACCTATTTGGAGACAAGTATAAGTAGTGTCAGCAGTGTGGAATAATATAGTGCTGCCTACTTTTACCCAATTTTAACATAATTGCTCATAAAAAAACTGTAATTCAGTCTTAACATCCATTTCTGAATGCCTTTTTAACCCTTTAACTCCTGTGAGAAACTAAGGCAGAACTTCTCATTACAGTATCAATTACAACATCAGGCAGACAATACTTTCTCAGGGGTTTCATTAAGGGCCGGGCACCGGCCAAATTGACCGGTTGTAAGGACCGTTTTGCCCACCTGGTTTAACAATCTGGAGGAGGGTTTATCTTATAAAGAGGTTTAGTTCAAAAAGTTTTGCCCTCCTGTGAAAACTAGTTGCCCTCCTGCTGAAAAAATCAATGAAACCCCTGCTTTCTAGTGGCTTAATGACGGTGTCATTGACAACAATAGAATCAATACTTGCTGACAAGTGCCGATAATTAGGTACTCAGTTTTTGTGTCATTTATCATGAAACCGTACATGTAATGATTATTAATAGCCATAAACCATCAGTAATGAACTTCTTGATAACAGAGACAGCATGGGTTTTGAATAAACAGAGCCAAGTTTGAAGGAAAGGTAGATCTGTGTGTTGTCAGCATGGCCATGGATGGAAGGAAGGTACTCAGAAATAACATGTAAAATAGGTGGGAGACTATAGAGAGTAGATAGAATGGGACCCAAACAACTTAAGTGTACTTTGAGGGCCTCCACAAGACAGATAAAAGTTGTCAGAAGTTTTATCACCAATGGGGATACGCTGTTTACAACCATATAGAAATGAGTCAAACCATTTCAGAGCAGTGCTGGTAACTCCAAAATCCTACTGCAGAGTATTCAAAAGAATAGAATGTTTAATGGTATCAAAAATGGCACTGAGGTCTAAAGAATGAGAAGCTTCACTTCCTTCTTGTCCATACTCATAATTAAGATGTCGTTGTGAACCTTTAAGAGTGCAGTCTCTGTCGAGAGGTACTTTTGGATGCCCGACTGGAATTTAGGAGAAGGAGCACTTTTTCTCAGTGATTGAAGAGTTGTTTAAGATCAACCTTTTCCACTACCTTGGAAATTAATGGATGACCAGAGCAGTTTTCCAGTATGAGTCATATCATTCTATTCCATAGGAGTTGTTTGGCAAATAGTAAGGAGAATCACTAATTAAATGAGATNAAAGTCCCCCGAAAAGTGTTGTGATGCACATTTGATCATATCCACATGTTAATTTGCGCAATACAAATATTAAACTATCATTATTATTATTATTATTATTATTATTATTATTATTATTATTATTATTAAAGGGGGTAAGTTTCTAAAGAAACTATGGTGCTGCATCACTGGGGGTAACAAGATAATATTGATTATAACAAATAAGTTGAAATAGTAAAGTGGACTCTGTAAAGAGTTAAAAAGCTGACGTTTTAGTCCTTTGTCGGAGCCAATGGAGCAAAGCGCTAATACTTGAAACATAAGCTTCTAAACTCTTTACAGTGGCCAATTTACAATTTCAACTTTGTTCATATAACCATACTACCTATGTGGATATTATACACTGGACATATAATTATATATAGTACATCAACAACATGAAGATTGTGGGAATATGTTATCTCTAACAACTTACCTGGCTTTGCCTGTCACAGGGATGATACAAAGGAAATGGATACAGACTTTGAAATTGGTCTGGATGAAATAGAATAACTCTCTTATATCCTGTCACTTGACAAAAGAAGTTCTGTTGTTCATCATAATGAACAGGTGTAATATTACCAGGTAAGCCGATTAGAAGAAGATTAGAAGTAAGTGATCCCCAGTTCATTTTCTTCTGAATATTTGAGAGCCAGCTCCATCTGAAGCCAAGAAAGTCTCTAACTATATTTTTTCCAACAGAATCATTGAGCATCTGTTGCAAATACAAACGAGTGTCTGAAGGTTTGAAGTTGGATATTCTTGTACAAAAGTTTTCAAATTTCATGTCAGTTCTCTGGGTTGGTGGATCAAAGTTAGGCCAATCTTTAGCTCGTTTGTCATCACAGTACATGAACTTATGTGTTTTAGAAGAATAAACAGTGAAAGATCCTTGGCCAAGGTTCTCTTTGAGATAGTTCAAGTCCCATTTAAGAGCTGTTCCTATAATATCTGAGTTTTTTAGGAGCACTGGTTCCTGAAAGAAGAAAGAAAGATAGAAAATAATAATTCAGTAATTTACTGATAGTATATGAAGAAACAATGTCACCATTGCAAAGGCCCTTGAGTTTAGTATTATCTTCTCTCACTAATTTCTATTCAAGTGGTTGCTTTCCTCTCAGTGGTCTTTCAAAGTTTCCTTAAAAAAATTAAGGATCATATGTGTTATAAGCCAGCTTCTAAGATAAAAGAGAAAAAAAATAATTTATTTGAGAAACTCTCCGAGGATGTCTAAATATTTTCAATGATTGTGGTAACATCTACATCTACATAACTTATTTGCAAAATCCTATGAGGACATACAGCAAATTCCAGTGCAAAGTGCAAAGATAAGAATGAATATATATGTATGTGCAGCTAAAGAAATATATAATTTCGACACAGTGATTCTAAAATAAATAGAAATTGGTAGAACTAAAACTTAAGCAGAGAGAGAAGATAGGGTCGATAATATTGAATAAAGAGGCTCTAAGCTCATCCTGAGAGATGTTGACTCTTGTAGCGGCACTGTGGTGAGCTTCACGTAAGTGAACGATTGCGACAGATTAACTAAATGTAAGGACATTCATTGAGCCACAAAAGCTCTCCAGCTGCAGTCACTGCAGATCTGGCCTTATGACTCGTTTTGAAAGATATAAATCAAGCATTTCCTCGATCTGACATGACCTCGAGTGTGTATGCAAATATTTGAGTTGAGACTGTATACTTAGCGGTCAAACCAACCTCACTTGCGATCATCGATTCCACTCGAGGTTCATTGTAGTCGAGTTGTGGAATCCTCAAAAGCTTTAGATCGTATTTCCTCACTCTATGACCATCAATATCAACATAATTTCCAGTGTCTCCATTTGTTACACTGTGGATAGAGGCCATTTTTAAGATTGTTGAGTTATTGGTCAGTCAGCAGTTTCGGACAAAAAGATATGAGCAGTACATCTAGAGTCCGGGACTCCGCGTTAATGATGTCACTGAAAAAGTCGTGTGCTAAATTCATTGAACGCTATTCAGCTTACTTCAACATTATCAGCGTTGGAGATGATGAGTTAAGCGTGTTCCTCCCCGTTAAATATTTAAAGACCCACCTTTGTAGTTCTTGGATGCAATCAACTGAAAGAGTAATTTAACGAATTGGAATTTGGATAGCGCGGTTTTCGTCTCTAGAAGATATGAGAGTTGTTGCCATAGAATTGGGTTTACATTCTCTCTTTGCATGGATTTTTCTCTCCTTCGGAAGGGCAACTCCAAAACAATCTTCGATTTGCATGCAGCCTATGGGTAAGAATTATCTTTTTTTTCCTCATTTGCGGAAGTAGTGTCTCAATCGTTGCAGCTTTTCATATAAAAAGGTGCACGATTGCTAATGTAATTAACGCAAGAACGAGATGTGAGATAAAAATGTTAATTTTATTTCGGTTAAATATTCCTTTGTATTTCCCTCGTTAAAGAATTTCATTAATGGCGGTAATGTGTATTTAAAAGAATAAGAATAAAAAATAAAGTGAGCTGGATCAAAGTCCTTTATACTTGAAATTCATTTTAAACTTTGATCGGAAATTCACCGTATAATTTTCTCCTATGCTTAAGTACAATGTAGGTTCACGGAGTACCATTATACTACATCGTGCAGCTTCTGTGTTTCAGTTATAAGTTATTTTCGTAGCCAATGGATAGCAGATTTTGTTCATCAGACATTATATGAAAACATTAAAAATAACATGTAAGAACATCAAGTACCTGACAGTGACTTAGAAAATTTATCCAACTGTGTTATAATCTTTCCCAGTAGAATTTATGGTATTCATTTAATGCCTTATATACCCTGTAGATCTCCCCCCTCCATGTTTTAAGGGGAGGTTATTTTGAAGTGTTGCTTAAGTAGAGCACTTGCAGCTGTAACCACTTTGGTTGGCATGACAAGAAGAAAAAATAATGTTAGTAACTAATTTGCCACGAGAGTTGATAACTTGGCAAACTGCATTTGGTCATCATGCAAATAAGTGTACTCTTCTTGTTACATAGAGTTGAAATTGGTCTAAAGGTGGAATATAAATGACTCACAATATAAACTAACTTCACCAAAAGGCAACTTTAGAACCGAGGACCCTAAGCAAAGAGGATATTGAGTGTAGAAACAAGATTTAAATTAGTCAATATCCACTGAAGTTCTAATCAGTGCTTATCATTTCATCAGTTCATTGTAAATCTTGTACTCAGGACATGAGCAGTAAGTTAGGTCTTTCATCATTAAGAAGTCAACATTGTTTCTTAATGCTTCAACTAGTTTTTAGAATTGTCTATAACATAATTTCTCCATACCAGTAAACAAATTATTTAGTTTAGCAGTCAGAAGTACATAAAAAATCTTTAAGGGATACTAACCTTATTGGATTTAGGGCAAAACATGTCATAAGCAATGGGACACTCTTTGTTGAAATATGTTTCTGCAAAAAACTGGAACGATCTCCGAAAAGGGATAAGAGAACTCAGCTCCTTCTTTAGTTTTAAAAATAAGATTATCAGGTATTTTTTTGTTTAAGATTTAGACACAAAGGAGCATAACTGAACTTCCAATTAGTATGAAGATATCTTTTTTTATATATATAAGGTTCATAGATTTCTCTATTATCCTGTTATTTAGATGTAGATAAAATTTTTAGATACGGTATACATTTTATAACTCTATCACTGATCGATCACCAGTTTACACCAGCTGTTCCTTCTGGGTTCAGCTGATTGGAATATCTGGATAAATAAAGATTTTTATATATTTTAAAGATGTTACCAAAACCACAGGGTTGCACAGGAGTTTTGTCACTACAATTACAGACTCAATTAATGGTGTGGATTAAGCAGAGCTCCAAGCTGGGACTGTTTTGTATTGGTTGCCAAATTGAGCTGTGAAAAATTACAGTGACTGAATTTGCTGCAAAAAAACACCAACTAGGTAAAGTGTGCTCAGCAGTCATAGAGCAAGGTGTTAATTTTGGTGTTTCTGGCCCAGAGAGAAAGTGAGATAGACAGGTGCATGTAATACAATTTATAATGTATTATTACTCCTTTGCATGTTATTCAGGTTTTGATTTTTCTCTTATCTTGCTAGAAACTGTGCCGTGTAAAGACACAACCTTCAAAACTTTTTGGTATTACAATGCCACTACAAGGGAATGTGTAAAGTCTAAGGGATGTAGTGGCGACAACAATAACTTTAGGACTGGAGCTGAATGCAAAAGAAAGTGCACAGAAGGTAGGTTGTCTGTATAAGTAATACATCAGTGATATATTAGGTAGTCCTACCACTCCAGACTTTCATTAACAATTATTTCTCATGATCTGTTTCCATCTGGGAATGGCATCATACCAATTTACATGTTGCCTGTATTCCTTGGCACACAGCATTCCAACAATTGAAGCAAAAAAACAACACTGTAACTGGAAAAAGACTGGGAAAGACTGGGAATGATGGAAACACAGCTTCAGTCAATCAACAATCCAGTAGACTTAAAAAAAAAAAGGATCTGAATTCTGAAAGAGGGGGAAATTTAGTTTCAATTGGTAATCAGTCTCAAGCATTCAAAGACAAAGAAAACGTTGCACCAGAATCCAAAACTAAAAATGGAAGTAATGAATTACTCAATGAGCAGTCCCAGGCATCTAAAAAAGAATGGAATCCTATGTTTGAATCCAGTAAAAACAAAAGTACAGAGCCAGGCAATGAACATTCTCAATCATCTAATGTAGAAGGGAGTCACAGGTCTGGATCCAGGAAAAATGAAAGTGCAGATTCAGTGAAAGGATCATCTCAAGTAATGTCTGGATCCAGCAACAATAGACCTACAGAATTAGAGAATGGACAGTCCCAAGTACCTAAAGAAAGAGAGAATCCTGCGTCTAGGTCCAGTAACAACAGAACTGTAGATATAGAGAACGGACAGTCCCAAGAATCCAAAGAAGAAGGGAATTCTACTTCTGGGTCCAGGAACAATAGACCTACAGATTCAGTGAATAGACATACCCAAGTACCCAAAGAAGAAGGGAATCATACGTCAGGGTCCAGTAACAGTAGACTTGCAGATTCAGAGAATGGACAATCCCAAGTACCCAAAGAAAAAGGGAATCCCATCTCTGGACCCAGCAACAATAAACCTACAGAATCAGAGAATGGACAGTCCCAAGTACCTAAAGAAGAAGGGAATTCTACGTTTGGGTCCAGTAACA